CACTAGTTACAGACTGGCACTATTGTGCTATCTAAACAACAGGGTAATTCTATAAAATTCAAAGATGGAAAAATATTCATAAACAAAAAATAGATTTGAGAGTACTTCATTGTTAAGCAGGAGGAACTTAAGTGAATACAGAGGAATAATGCCTAAAAGATGAAGATGTGAATCACTCATGTACCTGCCTCTGTCTCATTGCTTGCATTATTACCCTTGACATAAAAGCCCTCCCTGCTTTTCTCTAATTATCTAAGTTACAATTCCTCCACAAAGCCTTCCTGGTAAGACTAGACCATAGTGATTTCTCCCCTCTTTGAAGCCATCATTTGGCACGTCTTATGTGCAACTTTGTGTTGTAATTGCCTTTATACATCTGATCTTCCCAAGCAGTCGGCCTGCTCTTTAAGAGTTAGAATATCTTCTGCCCCAGATCTACTACTTTGCAGCCAAGTGACTCTGGACAGCTATGAGATGTAAGCTCTTGGAGACTCAGTTCACTCATCTGTAAAATGGGCACAAAATCCATACTACCTGTACTTCTTAGAGCTGGTGTGAAAATCAAGCAAGATGATATATGCAAGTGAAAATGTCCTGTAACCCTAAAACATTATATAAACATAAGCTATTGTTATCTCTAACAGTGTTTAGCACAGTCCCTCGCACACACTAAGCACTCAAATGATTGTTAATAATCACCATCACCTTTATATAAATCACACAAATACAGCCTTTTTTTTTTTGTCTTTTTGGTTGGGCAATGGGGGTTAAGTGACTTGCCCAGGGTCACACAGCTAGTAAGTGTTATGTCTCTGAGGCCAGATTTGAACTCAGGTCCTCCAGACTCCAGGGCCAGTGCTCTATCCACTGTGCCACCTAGCTGTCCCATAAATATAGCTTTAAGAAATCAAAAATTTTAGTGACTAAAATTTCACTAAATTTCACTTCAGATTCACTAATTTCACTTTGATTTCATATCAAGTCCTAGTATGAATGTGTCCGTAGCAATAGCAATAAATTTATATCCTGACACCTCAAGCAAAACACAGAGATGACTACTTACTTATGTTAACTGAAGCAAAGAATGTCCCCTTAGCTGCCTAAGCTTTTTTATGCTCATGGTCCAGACTCTGGACTCCAGAGTAACAAGCAATTAGCACTATTTTAATAAAGGCGAGGGACAAGAATAGACATAAAAAAGATGTCCCTAGTCAGAAATATTCAGATCAAATTACCTGTCTTAACAGGATTAAAGCCCCACAATTCCAATAGTTTGTATAATGAAGGTCAACTTTTCCAAAGAAGTCAATGACTATTTACCATAAGATTCATGAAACTAGACTATAGGTCAGACAGAGCTCCTTAAGAAAAGGGATTATTATTTCACTTTGGGTTTTGTATCCCCACTAATCTCAAACAGTGTCTCAAACTCAATAGGTGCTTAATAAATCCTTATTGAATTAGAATGAATCTATATAAACAGGAAGGGATTTATGGTCCAATTTAATAGCAGATTTGAAAGTCAATTTAATTAAATAGACACATATTAAAAGCCTGTGATGTGAAGACACTATTTCAGGAACTGGGGATACCAAAAAGCAAAATCAAATAGTCCCTAACCTCAATTACAATCTAACGGGAGAGAGAAACAGCACAATTTCAATCCTGGCTTCCTCTAGCAACAATTACTAGCTCAGAAATACAAGTGCAGGGAAGACAAATGGCAGGAATGACCCAGTATTAGGGATTAGTAGGGGAGGAAAAATGAAAGGATAAAAGGGCAAGGAATTCAAGAGTGGAGGCCAATGCCTTGTTAAAATCAGGAAACTACAAAAAGAAGCAATGAAGTCAGTTGGAGAGCAGAAAAGGTTTGAGGGACCAGAGGTCAAGGTGAAGATGAGGAGCAGGTTCAAGAGGTTCATTGGGTCGGTGTGAGATTAGAAAGGTAAGAGACTATGAGCAGAGAAGGGAATTGTGGTGTTCAGGCTCTTAGAAGTGGCACAATTTCAAATAATGCTGAAAGTGATCATGGGAGTTGAAGAAGATTATCAACATGAATCCTAAAGGCACTGATAATGATAGCAGAAGTTAGAGAATAAAGGAAGACTAAAAGTCAAGTACTAAGTCTCTGAGGAATGTAAGCAAATAACTTCCAAGCCAGGAGCTGGCACCAACTGGGTAACATAATCAGACAGCAGGGTTTTGTTTCTGACTCTGTGTCACTGGTACCGTGCACAATGCCTCATATTTCCACTGATACACTCCCCACCCCAGAACTGTGATTTCATTGTAGAGAACTACAGATGTGGAATCTTCTTCCACAGATGGAAAGTAATAACTCTTGATATGTAACTTAAAAGTCTTAGAAAGCTGCCTAGGGCACTAAGAGATTAAATGAATTGCCTGTATTTACACAACTAGTGTGAGTCAGAGACAGGACTGAAAGCCAAGCCTACGTGACTCCAAAGCTGGCTCTCCATCCAATATACTATGGTGCCTTACACAAAGAGGCACTTAATATATGGAATTAAAGTTGAATCTTTAAGTAATTTTGGTGTGAAAATGACAATAAGAAACAAATAATATGCTGACATCTCCTTCTAGACCTTTAACTAAAGGGAACATTGGAAAAGGATTAACCAGCATAGGAGAAGGCAGCTAGGGATTCGCTGTATTCAGAAGAAATCAAGGTTTTAGTTAGTGACAAGATGGAAAAGACTAAGAATGGATGGGAATTTCTTAACAATTGAATATGGGTGAAAGGTACCTGGTGTAGTGAGTGGATAGCTGGCCTCAGAGTCAGGAAGATTTAGCTGTGTGATCTTGGGCATTTGCCCAAAGCACCTCTAAAACACTAAAAGTTTCAGACTAGGTGCCACTCTACATTTGTAGAAGGAGATTTCTCATAATTACCTATACCAGTGAAATCACAGGTCTGGTTCTACCCCACCTCCTAAAAAAAAAATGAGGGTTCCAGAGGATACAGTGAAAGATGTAGGAAAATAGGAATGGGGAGATGGGGGACTAACTTGGCCACAGACAGGAATGATAGTATGTGAAGATGTAGGAGAAGAAAATAATTTTTGCCCAAGGAAGTAGCTAATATTTAATAATAATAGCTTGCATTTATACAGTGATTTAAGGTTTCTAAAACACAAAATATATATTTCATTGGGATCTCACAACCCCGTGAGACAGATGCTGAGGCTCTGAGAGATTAAATGACTTGCCCAGAGTCACATAGCTACTAAGTATCTGAGGCAGTATTGAACTCAGGTCTTCCTTACTCCAGGTCCAGCACTCTTATCCACTGCATGACCTATCTGCCCTCTTAGTAGTTCTGAATGACAGAGATTATAGGAACAGTAATTCAGGATTTGCTAGCCATGGGTAAGAGAAATGCCAACTAGGTAGCTTTTGAATAAATCAGTTCCATGGATCTAAAGAGAAAGTTGGTGTGATGGAAACTTCCCAGATCTCATCTCTCATGTGGATTTATCTCCCATGTGGATCCCAACTACCATATGAATCTCACAGACTTGACTGCAGTAGAAGAAAGTTAGTATTTAATAGTACAGGAGTGGACTAGAAGTCCCCAAGCTCAATGAAATTTTAAGGTGATTTGGAGTTAACTACCAATTCAACCTTCCCTTCCTCTCTTAGTCTTATAACACAATCTGAAGAAAAGTGAATAAAGACAATGTCAATACAACAGGGTATACAAAAGGGTTTGAGATAAGCTAATAGCTAACTTTAGTCAAAATTAAATTTGTAAACCTGGTGTCAATTTAACCTCAAAAATAAGTTGGGATAGATTTGTAGATATTCTCTTGCAAATACCTAGAAAGACCTAACCTCTGAGTACATTGATATATTGAATGGTTCTGAAGTAAATCAATAATTCTTAAAACAGAATAAAAGACTTCATGAGATAGTCAAAGAGACAATACTAAAGGAACAAAAAGGTGACAGGAAGAAGTAAGATGAGGACATAAACATCCTGGAGTGAAAGTGACTAAGACTCTGTTATCTTTGTTCATATTAAGTAGCCTAGAATCCTGAACCTTAGAGGTCTAAACAAATTTTTCAAAATCATTTCAGGAATGGGTGATTTCCTTGCAAAAGGCTACAATTTTAAGATCTACTTCACTTAAATATTAGAGTCCCCACTTCAGAAAAGAATATACCTGAGAAATTTCAGAGATTGAAATGTCAGATTTAGCTATGTGACCCTGGGCAAGTCACTTAACTTCTGTTTGCCTCAGTTTTCTCATCTGTAAAATAGGGATAATAATAGCACCTACCTCCCAGGGTTGTTCTGAGCAAAAATGAGATATTTTTAAAAGTGCTTAGCACAATGCCTGGCACATAGTAGGTACTATATAAATGTTATCAGTAGTAATAATGGTGGTAGTAGTAGGAGTAGTAGTAGTAGTAGTAGTAATAGTAGTAGTAGTAATGACATGGGTCAAATAATTTAATGATCCAATAATTAAATAATCCACCTCTCCCTAAAAGAACTCTACAAATTAATATGACCCAACTGACTAGGAAAAAGCAGAAATATTAGGGTTTTAGTCTTTAGTCTTCCTACCTTACTTTGTGACCTTGGAAAAAATCACTTGGTCTTTCATGGTTTAATTTATGAGTATGGAGACCTTTGAAAAGATGAAGCATAAAATGATGACACACAGTTTAGAGACCTACTTCTCAAAATGATCCACTGGTCTCATGGAACCCTAACTCAGATCAAAATCTCAAAGGTATATACACTATATGCTAGAGAAAATTTATCAACAGAAGTCCAGAGCTCTCAAAAAGTACATGTCTTTATCCCACTTCTGGAAACTAAAAGGGATCTAAGAATAAGATTTTTATCTAGACTGACCAAAGAAGTTAAAACTGAAGTTGGGTAATATGAAACAGATGAAAACAATAAGCTTAGCAGACTCCATAATCTGTATTTATCCACCGGCTAAAGGCTGCTAGCTATTACTTACTCTTGGCTTGCCACCTCCTCGTCTTCTGAGGATGATGCTGTTTCCTCCAGGTCCCGGGCCATCACGACTGGCATTTCCTTTAGGGCTTTTCATGCAGTCAGCAGACGGGGGCCTCAGAGACCTTTCTTTGCTGGCTCACTAGATCAAACAATCTGGGTGGCACAGTTTCCTAAAATAATTAACAAGAAAAATACCTTCAGACAACAAAAAGGAAGCCAGTTCCTCTGAAAAAGGGTATAGTGATCTACTTGTTAAATATGTAAAATATCCTACGTGCTATGCCACATATATAGGCAACATGGACCCAGACCTCTAGAAGCTTAAATTATAGAGCAATGACGAGTTTCCTACGTGTTACAAAAATGAAAAGTGATCTCAAAAGTAGTATATTATGATATACATATTTTAAAAGTTATTTAGTTTGAGCTTCTCTTTCTTTTGCTCTAAAATTTAGTTAACATGTACTACAGAAAGGACACAGGTGTACAGAGTTTGGGTAGTGTTAACTGAGCAAATATGACAGAACTGCTGCAGGTAGGACCTAACCTACCTGCAAAACAAAACTAATCAGAACTCAAATACACTCGTAAAGCTATTTCCTTAACATGTCCAGCATTATTCCTCTGGAATATTTCTATGGCAAGCACTCTGACAACAAAATTACCCCATTATGCCAGTAAAATAAATTCAACAGGTATAGTGTTGGGGGGAAAAAAACCCAGGCTTAATCATAAGGTTGAAAAATCATTACATGTCATACATTACATTTCAAACTGGAAGGTACCTTAGTAAATAATTCAATCCCTCCATTTTTATAGATGAGGTAACAGAGACCTTGAAAAGTTAAGTCAGTTACCATACTTCACATGGGAGGTAAATGAAAAAGTCAGAATTCAAATACAATTCTCCTGATTCCAAATCTACAGCTCTTTCTATTCCCCACGCTGCAATATCAAATATATTTTAAAACTGTCCTTCTCTGCTAAACCCACAGGTGTTGATCTGGATTACAAAGAAATTTTACCTTAAATCTACTTATTTCAAAATCAAAATTTCCAACAAGATTTTAATGAGACTGGCAAGACGGCTATATTATGTGACAAAGTACAAATATTGCAATCTGGCCCAAAGAATAATTTCCTAAATTATTCATTCTGGAAATTCCATATGAGACCTTGTCATTCTTTAAACAATCTTTCTCTCCATACTATAAATAAATTCCTGATAGAGGGTTTTATGTCCTTACAGAATCTCCCAGAAAAAGATATGTAGAATCAAAGAATATTAAAGATGGAATAGACTTTGGAGATCATCTAGGCCAAGCTTCTCATTTCAAAGAGGTGGAAAATGAGGCCCAGTGAAGTAATTTACTCAGTCATGTAGCAAGTTTGTGGTAAAACAGAGACTAGAACCTATGTCCCCAGCTCTTTCAACTGAACCACGCTGAATGCTGAACCTAATGTAATAGAAAGTGTTGGAATAGGAGTGAGACAACTTGAATTAATAATAATAACTAACATATAAGACTCTGCTAAGCACAACTATTATTTTATGTGATCCTCATAACCACCCTGGGAGGCAAGTGTTATTTTTATCCCCATTTTACAGATGAGAAAACTGAGGCAAACAGCAGTTAATGTTTTGCCCAAGGTCAGAGCTATTAAGTGTCTGCAGCTGTATTTGAACTCAAGTCTTCTTGACTCCAAGCCCAGCACTCTATCCACTGTGTCAACTAGCTCGAATATGAGTTCAAGCTCTGACATTTACTAGTAAATTTAACTCCAATTTAAGTATCTATTACGTGTCAGGCACTGTGCTAAGGGCTGGGGATATGAAGAAAGGCAAAAGACAGTCCTTGCCCTAAAAGAGTTCACAGTCTAATGGGGAAGACAACTTGCAAAGAACTATGTACAAGCAAGATACATACAAGATAAATTGGGAGTAGTTTCAGAGGGAAAGCGTTAAGATTAAAGAAGGCTGGGAAAGGCTTCTTGCCAAAGATGGGACTCTGGCTGAGCCTTGAAGGAAGTCAGGGAAGCTAGCAGGCAGAAAGGGAAAAAGGGGGATTTTCGGGCGGGGGGGGGGGGGGGTGGAAGGGGTTGAGTGTAAATGCCCAAATTAATTGAAGAACCTTAGGAGTGTGGGAGGCAGTGTCACTGGATAGCCTAGTATATGAAGGGGACTAAAATAAAAGCAGACTGGAAAGGTGAAAAGGGGTCAGGTTATGAGGACTTTAAAAGCCAAACTTTTATATTTTTATATTTGATTTTATATTTGATCCTGGAGGTACTAGGGAGCCACTGGAGTTTCCTACATGGGGTGGGGGAGGGAGTGATATGGTCAGGCGAGCTTAGAAAGATAAATCTGACAGCTCAATGAAAGACAGACTGCATCGGGAGGCAGAATTGGGGCAGGGAAGCCAAGGTGCAGGCTATTACTGCCATAATCCAGATGTGAAGTGATGAGAGATGGGGCTGCAGTATCAGAGAAGTGGGGGGGGGGGGGGGTTGTTGATTACCAGAGATGGAGGACTTGACAACTAAGACTGCACACGGCGGGGGAAACAGTGAGGGGTCAAGGATGGCACAAGCCACACTCGACATTAAAAGGAAAGTTAGGAAGAGGGGAGGTCACAGAGAGACGTCTCCATGGGCGAGTCACTCCGAGTCTCAGCTCGTCTGCAGGCGGGGAGTGCTTTGCACTAGCTACTTTCCAGGGCTGAACTTTCCAGTGATGAACGTGAGATCTGGAGCTCCCTTTCCTCGCCGGGTCTGCCCAGGACAGTTCCCTGCCTCCCCCTGCGAACTCCAGGAGAGTTTCATGACGACCCTCGGCGTCGAAACTAAGGTCCTGGAGTGACCAGCTGCGAAGCTTTCTCGTCTGGAAGTCCTCCGTTCCCACGCCAACCCCCACCCCGGGACCCAAGAAGGGCCTACAATTGATTTGACAGAAGGAAAATCAAAGACGGTGGCCGCTACTATCCTGAGACGCGCCCGGAAACCAGGCACTTGTCTCAAGGGCTTCCCATAGCCCAGTCCGGTGGGAAAGCACAACTCCCCGCAAGGTTGTCCCCAAAGGCGCCAAGTAGCCCAGCGGCAGCAAGTACCTGTCTCATCTTCCCATAGTTCGGGTCAGGCAGGCAGGGACTGCGCCGGGCGCTTCTTCCCTCCTCCTGCCCCCTTTCCGGGCTCACCACCGCCACCGACGGCTGCTTCCCCCGTTACTACAACAACCAACAAGCAACCGCCCGTCCCAATCCACTGCGCAAGCGTAGGAGGTCCAATTCGTACGCATCGCGCAGCCTCCGTCGAGAAAGAATCTCGTCATCGCCTTCGCGCTCACGTATACGTGCCCGCCCTTGTCTGCCTCGGAGAGTGGCTCGGACTTCTGCCGCAGTCTGAAGGGGAGTGTCCCAACTCTTGATTCTTCCGCCACTCCCCAAAGGAGGGTTGATCACGTGAGCTCGTGTCAGGGGAGAGGCTTAGCCAAAGCTCACAGTTGATTGGCCCTGCAGGCGTTCACTCCCCATCTCCTGCGTGTAGGAATGTCATTTTTAACCAATCGAACTAAGGTTTGATACAAAGTGAACCAATCCAAGATCTGATTCGAGAGGTGGGCGGGTCCACAAGAGGGTCTCAGGTGTACACGGGTATTAGAAGTGAAATTGAGGCTCGCGCTGGTGTTCCAGGTTCTGTTTGTCAGGTATGGGGAAGAGACGTCCGGAGGTGGGGGAGAAATCTGACCGAGGGGAAGAGGTAGGAATGAGGCTGCGAGAGGTCAAGGGGAAGGGCTAAGGAGAGGATGAGAGATGAGGGAGGGAAGGATTGGGGAGATTGGGGGTGGGGAGGGGGTGTTGAAGAAGGGGTCAGAGCAGCGTCTGGGAAAGGATGGGGCGCCCTCCAGGAGGCTATTTGGTCAAAGATGGAGGAGACGGGTTGGCATTGGGGAAGAACAGATGGATGTCTGGTTTTCTACTCCCACCCTCACTACCTTTCTGTGGTTTTTCTCCCCCCCGCGCCTTTTTTTGGGCTCTTCTCCATCCCCCCTCTTTGAGGCTCTTCTCCCCCTCCTTCACCTGGCTCCTTTCGCTCCCCACCTCCATCTTGCTCCCCCCCACACACTTTGCTCCTCTCGCTCCCCCTCTCCTTTCACCTAACTGCTCTCGCTTTTCCCCTCCTTCACTTGCCTCTTTATTGGATTCTGTTCCCCCACCTTCCTAAATTGTTTTTCAGCTAACAGAATCTTCCTTTGCAGTCAAACTCCGGATAAAGTGGGGTGCTCCAAACATACTCTGAAGGACGATCATAGGATCATAGATTTAGAGCTGGAAGGTACTTGAGAAACTATCTAGCCTGGTGCTAGGCACTAAGGATATTAAGACACAATGGAAACAGTCCCTGCTCTCAATGAGACGTGTATGTATACACATGTATGCATAAGTAGATACATAAAGATATATATATGCAAGATAGTTTAAGGAAAAGAGGTATTATTAATTGGAGAGGAGCAGGATAACTTTCATGTAGAAGGTAGCACTTGAGATCCACCTCGTCCTTCCTTTTCCTTTAGAGATTCATGTTATTTGGGGTACCTGCATGGACTCTTGCAGACTTTACATTTTATTATCACTAACATAAAGGCTTTCATTCTGAGACTCCAACTGGAGTACTCCACATCCAAATATCATATAAGAATTTTCCCAGGGTTGCATTTTAGTTAAATCAAGTTGATTTGATTTAAATTGTTACCCAGGATCACTCAATTGAAAGTTTGTGGCTGGTTTGTTTGTTTGTTTTTTAAATATAGTTTTATAAGATATAATCTTAGATTCTTCAACTTGAGTATCGATGTCTATTTCACAGGTAGAGAAACTTCATTAAAATATTATCAAACAGGGTCATTCCACTTCAGTTTTCTTCTGATGCCTCATTGTGATGTGAAGGACATCTTGTGTTCTTGAAGTCTATGCCAACAGATTGCATCTCTGACAGGTCCTACCAAGCTGGAAAAGCTTCAAGTATGGACCAGGTGATAGACATTATATATCTTTCATCTAAGGACCAGCATAGCTAAAGACACTAACTACCAGGTTGTCAACTGGATGGTGGATTTTTCAGCCACAGCAACTCTTAATGACTGTCTCCTGGGTTTTAGAAGGGATGTCGTTTTCATTCATTGGAGGGTGTACCCACACCCATGAAATAAGGAAGTCTTAAATTATTGATGAGAAAGGTCTCTTCCAGCCCTATGATTCCCTCTAGCTATTAAAATCAATGCCTGTGTGACATTAGAGAAGCCCCTACCTTCCCTGGGCTCAATTTCTACATCTATAAAGTGTGTGTTTAGTATTAAATCAGTGGTTCTCAAACTCTTTTTGATCATATCACAGTATTATTATTTGCCATAAGGAATCTCAGAACACTAAATATCTTAGATTTGCAACAAAGAAAGGTTCCTGAGCAGCATTGTTTCCAGAGCAATGGACTTTGGGGTTCTTCTGCCTCTCCTTCCCTTTCCCTCTCCCCCTTTATCCTCTTCTTTAATTCCCCAGGAGTCACTGTGGAGATAGCAGCTTTGTACCTCCCAGGATTAGAGCTGGTATGGTGATCTTCCCCATACCATGCTAGGAAAAAGCAAACAGCAAAAACTGCAGCTAGGAACAGGGACCAGGGATTTCATAGCATACCTTTTAGACTCCTAAAATGTTCTGCTGACTTACAGAGCTTACCTAATCCAATTCAGCAAGCATTTATCAAATATCTACATTGTTTAATGTGCTAGATGCTAAGAATAGTCCCTGCCTTGAAGGAGCTTACATTCTACTAGGGGAATACAACATATATGCAGATAAGTATAATGCAAGGTAAGAAGTGAAGGGGGAAAAGAAACAGATGAGACAGAGTTCTCTAGAAAAATTGAAGGAGAGAGAGAATAATCATAGCTGAAGCTGGGATCAGGAAATACTTAATGGAATTGGTAGTAACTGCTGAATCTTGAAGAAAGAAAAATTTAGAAAAGTGGAGATGAAAAGAAAGTGCTTTTGAGGCATGGCAGATAACTTGTGTGCATGCATAGAGATGGAAAATGACTAACTCTTCCTAAATTCAACTAGTCTATTTGACTGGAACATAAATTGAGTAAATGGAAGAAATGTGAAATAAAGATGAAGAGGTATATTTGAAACACATTTTAGAGGACCTTCAGTGCCAGACTAAGGCATGTGTTTTATCCTAAAGGCTGCAGAGAGTAGTGAAAGGTTTTTGAGCATAGGAATATCATGGTCACACCTTTATCTTGGTAAGATTATTTTGGCAACTATATGAAAGTCACACTTGAGAAAAGAGAAACTAGAGGTGGGAGATCAGTTCAGAGGCCTTTGCAATAATCTAGGAAACATGAATTTCTGAAGTGATATGACAGCAAAGAGAAGAGGAGGTGATGCAGGTAGAATTGAGGTCTTGGCAACTGGTCAGATATGATGGGGTGAGTAAGAGGGCAGGGTTAAAAATGACTATGAAATATGTATAGTTGATATCATATTGCTTGCTTTCTCAAGGAGTAGGGGAGGGGCAAGAGAGACTGAGAGAATTAAGAACTCAAATTTTAAAAAATAAATGTTAAATTTTTTTTTACATGCAATTTGGAAATAATTTTAAAATATATATTATATATACATATATGTATTAAATGACTGTGAAATTACAAACCTTGATGACTGGATGACTTGATGAAGGATGGTGGTATCCTCAACGGAAATAGGAAAGTTTACAGGAGTAGAGAGTTGGGGGAGAGGGGTATGTGAAAAAATGAATTCTGTTTTGGACCTGCTGAGTTTGAGATACTAGAGGGCATCTAGGAGATGACAAGACAGTCTAGAAGAAACATTAAGACTGGAGATATATGTTTGAGTCTTCTGTCTAGAGGTAATAGATAAATAGACACTCTGGCAGTAGGTGAAGGCCGTTAAGAGAGAGAAGATAGAGGAAAAGAATATTCAGGATGGAGCCTTGGAGTGTACTCACACTAAGGGACAGAAAATGGTGGCGATCCAGCAGAGGAGCCTGAGAAGTAGCAGTGAGATGGATGGAAGGAGAGCTAGAGAAGAGTAGTATCATGAAAGCCAAGGGAGGAAAGAATGTGAAAAGGAGAGAGTCTGGTAAAAAAAAAAAAAAAGTCCTGTGCAGTTTCATTAGAATGGTTTGGATGGGAGTCAAATTTCAAGATACCAAGAAGTGAATAGACAATGAAGAAGTTGAAGTAGTCAGTATTCTCTCACTAGGAATTTATAAATATATAAACTATTATATAAATTCTATAAAAGGAAGAGAAATAGTACAATAGCTTGAGGGGACAGTAGAGTCAGGTAAAAGATTTTTTTAAGAATGAAGGAGGCCTGATTATATTTGTAGGCAGCCGAGAAAGAGGCAATAAATGGGGAGAAGTTAAATATGAGAGTGATGGGGGAATAATTAAAGTTGACTTCCCAGATGAATGGGATCAAGGCACAAGTAGAGCAGTTAGGCTGGCTAGTAGAAGGGTCACCTCATCGTGACTGGAGCAAAGGATATGTGAATTTATAGAAGGTTTTTGAGGTATAGACTAGGGAAGAAAAAGAACTTCGTGGAGGCTCCCCCACTTAATTTTTTTTTTGACATAGCGAGTTCATCTGCTCAGCAAGGATTGTAGGGGTAATGTTGAGAGCTTTGGGGAAAAAGATAAGTTTTGGAATACCAACTGCAATGAGTGTAATAATCCACAAGAGGCTAAAAGGATTGCCATTCAGCAGTGAGGCCCCAGTTGAGATTATTCCCCAATAACTGATTCCATGTTGTCTTGTCATCTTGACACCCTAATCTTTGTATCAAGTATAGCTCCTGACAGAGAAGCCCCCCTAGTGCTGAAGTGAGAAATGAGCCGATTCTTGAACGTGCTACGTAGCTGGTTGGTTATAGTATCCATTATAGCCATGGGGAACACACTGCAGAGCTTCCGAGACCACACCTTCCTCTATGAAAAGCTGTATACCGGCAAACCAGACCTTGGTAAGTATCCTGGAGATCATATTCCCTCCAGGAACGGGGGATAATGATGGGCCAGTGCTCATTAAGTTCAGTTTTTCAATAGTTTTTAATTTTTTTTTTGGTTATTTTGAACTTGACAAACTAATAAATATGAGCATTTACATAGTCAAAGAAGAAGAAAAGAAAATTATACATAAAACCTCCATTATGTATAGCTTGGGTTTTTTAAAATATTGGCTTATAAGGTTTCCTGCTTATCTGTGTTTCCTTCTGAACTTCCTTCTCTTCTGTATGCTTTTTAAATGCTTTACTGTTGCTCTTAGTTTTTTTTTTCCTACTTTATTATCATTACAGCCCCACCTAATATTCACCTTCCAAAAGATTAAAAAACAAAAAACCTCTCTTGTAATCAATAAACATAGTCAAACAAAACAAATCTACACATTGGCTGTGACCAGAATTGTGTGGCAATGAGATCTCTTTCTCCAGAGAGAACCCTAGATAGAAAGCTGAATAGGACCAAATGTGGCTATAGCAGCCGATTGGCACCTCTTTGGGCAGTTAGGTGACACAGTGGATAGAGTGCCTGGCCTGAAGTCAGGAAGACTCATCTTCTTCAGTTAAAATTCACCCTCAGATACTTACTAGCAGTTCACCCTGGGTAAGTAACTTCACCCTATTTCCCTCAGTTTCCTCATCTGTAAAATGAACTGGAAAAGGAAATGGCAAACATTCCAGTATCTCTGCCAAGAAAATCCCAAATGGGGTCACGAAGAGTCAGACATGACTGAAATGACTCAACAACAATAACAATAGATGCACCTCTTTCCATTGTGAGATCCCAGTGAAATGTCGCTCTCATTTCTTATATCATTTTTAGTAGCCTTTCTTAGGATCTTACAACTTTTTATGAAATAAAAAGGCAGTGGCTCATTATGTTTTTCCTACCATACAGATGGAGAATGACTTGCCTGTGGTCACAGCAAAGTCAGGGACAGTTATCCAGGGGAAAAAATTCAAATTGCCTTCCCTTGACTGGATCCCCTGGAAGAGTCTGTTTCCTCTGGGGGAAGTTAGAGATAGTCATTCCTTTTTCCAGAGCCTTACTGCCATGAATACTGTAAGATTTCTTATTTCTCTGATGTGATATGTACTATACAGAGCCAGCATAGAGAATTAAGATGGCCTTGCCTTCAGCAAAAATCTCCTAACTATAAATGCGACAGTTCTGTGTCACATTTATAGCTAACCTAGATAGAAACTCCATCCTATTGTCTGCAACGTCTAGGAGAAGAATGAACTGGTATAAGCTGTGCCTGAATTTAAACAAAGCCAGTACAAAATACACAGGAGAAAAGTATCTGGAGAAATGAGTGGGATTGGCCTTTTTAAAAAAATTTTTACCGAAAGAGTTTATAATCCCAAATGTATATTTACTGTCCCTCAGTTACCAGGCAATCCATGCCAAGTTTTTCAGGCTTTAGAATATCTTAACCATTGTTCCAATGATATAATTTTCTGAACAGATCATTTGCCCTGCCCTTAGCTATTTCAAGAATTCCCATGTAAGGGCAAACCAGTTTTTCTAATCCCATTTGAGAGCAATACAGAGAAGCTAGAAGAGACCTAGCCTTAGGTATCTCTAATAGAAAGGAGGAGAACCCTCTAACAGTTGCCAGAGGCAATACATCTTCAACAAAACTATGAGCATCTATAGGTTGCCCACAGATGGAAAAGTTGTTCCCATTAGCTCTTAACTTTAGATATTTAGGTAGCAAAGTGAATAGAACCCTGGAATTGGAGTCAGAAAGACTTTAACAGGCACTTGCTAGCTTCATGAACCTGGGCAAGTCACTTCACCACTGTCTACTTCAGTTTCCTTATGTGTAAAATAGGGATAATCAGAGCATTTATGTCACAGTGTTGTTGTGAGGATCAAATGAAATAGTATTTGTAAAGTGCTTTGCAAACCTAAGTGCTTAATAAATGCTGGCTCTTATTATTAGTAATAATTAACCAGACCACAAATCTGAGAGAGAAAAAAGACCCTCTTAGCTGTTGTAAAGGGCAATAAACCATAAGAAGCCTCAGACTGACCAGAGATGGTGAGGTGGTCCCCGTTTGCTCTTAACAGTAAATGAGAAAGAAGGGGGGCTCAACTGAAATAGATTTTGTGGCAATGCTAATCAAATTTTATTCTCTCATCTGTCATCTCCCAACTAGATTACATTAATTTACTATCCTTAGGAATACTCTGGACAATCGCCTACAAATGTCAGCTGATGCATAATCTGATTAGAATTAGTGGCGTATATTAATCTAGTATTTACACTAGCTAGAAAAAATTAGTTTTTCTGTCTTACTGTTACAGCGAGTAAAATTGGCTGGAATATGGTTTCTAGTTTTTAATTTAGGGAGTGTGGTTGCCTCAAACTAACAGCTTGGCCTATCTTAATAACATTTTTAGCTCATCACAGAGTGAGAGAGACATCATGGGGGTAGGGAGAGACTTAGTTGTAGGGTCTCTTTGATTTAGGAATCTATAACTCGAGGATTTTGGAATCCAAGACACACTGGTTACATAGCAATAATAGCTTTTCCATTTGTCAGTCTCTTGTGACATGGGACGCTAGGAAAGTAACTTTGCTTCCATAGTGGTGATATATGCCCAGTCTTTCCACAGATGAAACTGAATTATGACCTATGTTTTGGGAACTATGGTAGGAGTAGCACCTATTTATGTAGACTGAGCTGCTTTATCCTTTTTATCCTTTGTCATTAATAAAGCCATTTTTGTGGAATTTTATGAACCCTAAGAGTCTCTGCATTTTGAGCTGAAACCTGAATTGTTGGACTGGCCTGAATTAGGCCTGGCCCAGAATATTTGGTATAATCAGCAGAATCTAATTGTATCTAAAATAGTTGGTTATAAGGAGTGGAGGATATATGAAGAGAGGACATAAATCTAGTCTATGAAAAGCAACTCTTTGGAAAAAAAAAAAGTAATCCCCTCTCTTGCTGTCCTCCATTGGAGAATGGGTTTCAAAGGAAATTAGTCTTTGTGAGACCAAGTATACAGAACTCCCCATTTTAGCCACCTTAAAAGAGGAAAAAAAGCAATCCATCCCATCCAGGGTCCGTAACCGGTTCAGGTGAATTTGCACAAGCAAATCCTCTATAAGATATAATAATGAAAGTAAACTGTCATCTCAGATTTTTAAAATCCGGCCCATTTGCATTAGTGACACAAATGCTCAGATTCCTTAAGAGTCTGGCCAATGTGGTGGATCTTTAATAAATCTGGTCTTTGTCTGAAAGAAAAAAAAAAGAAAGAAAGAAAGTAAGTAAACTGTCCTTGTGCATTAGGGCAGAGTTGAATGAGCTTTTTTGATCTTTGGTGTCTATACCTTGAAGGAAGAGGAGCAGCTTATGGATCTAGTAACATTCATACTTCATTCAAAGCAAGTGATCCAGCTTTTCTAAAGCTATTAATAGGAGCCAAGGGATAATTGATTCTGCTATATTTTTATTTTCCCTTTCAGGCTCCTTAAGCATCCATCAAGCTAACCCTACAGAGTGATTGGGAGCTTCCTCTTTATGCTACTGACTTGACTCCCCCTGTACCCCTAACAGGATACCAGAATCTTGTATCTGGCATTCCAATTACCTGAGACTGTTTCTTCTCCACTATCCTTCTCCCACTTTAACAATGACTTGAACCATGAGTTCATTGCAAACAACCCCTGCCAGATATTCTGGAATAGGTCTAATTTAGGATGGTCTAATGATTCAGGATGGAATTAAGAATACAATGAGACACTCATGGTCCATAAAATGCAATAAAAATGACTTCACTAATAACAAAGGACACAATACCTAAAGTTTAAAAAGACAGTAATAAGTATAAAAGGCTGCTTCCCTCTGGCCCCACATTTACTATAGCAATAGGCCATGCAAAGTCAGAAAGGCATTCCACAGGGCATTGGGAATTTGATACCAAGTCGCCATAAACTAGGCCTTTTATGGTTCTTTTGGCAAGAAATCCAAATTAATGATGATCCTAAGAACAACTTCCCCTGCCCCTTGTCAAGCAACCAGGCCAACCTATATAAAACAAGTGATACACCTATCATAGAGGCAATGCCAAAAGTGAGATAGAAAAGCCAGCCATCTTATGCAGCACCTTATGGGTACACAAAAGGTTCTTTGATTCCCACTAGGGTTGTCAATTACCTTGCTCAAAGTGCAATGTCATAGTATACCATAAGTTGCTAAGACCCATACTTGAATGAACATAACTTTGTGCACAACCAATCTCTCCTATATCCTCTGAGTTAAGCCTAAATCAAACTAGCTTCCAATGGCTAGGGGAGAGATTGGTTGTGCACAAAGTTATCTCTTATAAAGGCCAGCTATGAGCATTTGCTTCCTTCTAGAGTTTCTGGAATCTTTCTTGAGTCAATCTTGAAACAGACCTGGTCTTACTTCCTGTATGTTCTCAGGCACTAGACAAGATCTCTAGGAACAGCTCCAGGCTTTAATGAAATTCCTAAGCCTGTTCTAGTCCTAACCTTCATGAAGATGCCAGACCTAGAATGAGTTCCAGGGACAGAAAGAATGAGGTATGATTAATGTGACAGTTGCCTTGATGTATTCTATACCCTATAGGTTTTCCTCTTTCTCTGTTCTCTCTCTATTCTGGTCTCTTCTGTAGGCTCTTATCTCTATTTCCTTAACGTTGGCATTCCCAAAGGTTCTATCTAAAACACTCTTTTCTCCTAAAGAAAAGAATTAACTCTATGAAGATGACTCCCTAATATATGTATCTTTACCCCTGACCTTTCTATTTTCAGATATGCATCCCAGATGCCTAAAGGATAGTTCTATCTAGAAGTTCCACTTATGTTTCAAATTCAGCATATTCAAAAATAGACTTTTGATCCACTCCTTTATTTTTCCTCTGAGGACACTCTATGAACTGTCTTTTCATCTAGCTTCAACTAATTTGTCTTCTGATTTTACCTTGAGTGTGACTGTTAATGTGAATGTTTCTGTTTTTTCAATATTATATTAACTTTATATGGGACAAAGATCTTATATTTAAAATATCAACAGTTAAATTAATATTTTAGATCTAAAAACTGTAATTTTACATGTTACCTGAATATAAAAGTTTACAACATTTTAAAAATTAGAGCATAAGAGCATTGAGTACTCTTCACAGATAGAGCTAAAAGGATAATTATAGGAATTTTTTTTTTCCCTTCAAGTTAACAAATACTTATTAAGCATCTGCTACTTGCAAGGTACTGGGCTGGGCCCTAGCAGAAACAAAGACCAAAATAAAATGTGAAATACTCATTGTCCTGAAGAAGCCTGTGTTCAAGTAGGCAGATAGAAGATTCCAGAGAAGAAATCTTAGAACAAAGGGTAGCCTTTGGTTACTGTGAATCTGCAGAGATTTCCAACTGGATGATAGTGACTTGAAACTTGAAATTACTATTTTTCTGATCACTGTAAGGTATTATTTAAAGTTTGTATTGATAATTTTTGGGTTTTATTGATATTTTGGGGATTTTTACTTTGTCTCCATTTCCCAATATGCTTCTCCCCCATCTCCTTCACAAAGAGATATTCCTTGTAACAATGGTTAAAAAAGAAAGAAAGAAAAAACAATTCAGTAAAACTAACTAACATTTCCAACAGGTCTGACAATCTGTGCAATGTTCAACACAAAGTCCCCTACCTCTGCAAAGAAAGGTATAAAGTACATTTTCTCAATTTTAGTTTGTAGCTAAGCTTGGTCATTTTAATTATATAGTAACCAGTTTCTGGCTTTTTTGTTCTTTCTATCTCCGTTGTTTTCTTAGTAGTATAGGGGTAGAATTCTTAAAGGATGAGGGAAATGATAAAAAGTAGATAGTTTTGACTACGTGGCATTAAAAATCTTTTGCACTAATAAGATGAAGACAAAATGAGGAAAGAAAGAGCAGAGGGGGGACATTTGAATAAAACATTATTGATTTTAACAAGTCTGATATCCAAAATATCTAGGGAATTAACATAAATCTATTATACTCGTGGCAAGATGGAGAAGCAAGAAGAAGTATAGTCAAGTTGTCCTCAACACAACTCCTCCGCAAATATCTAGAAAACGCACCAGACCAAATCTTTTTTTAAAAATGTACTTTTAGGGGCAGCTAGGTGGTACAGCGGATAGAGCACCAGCCCTGGGTTCAGGAGGACCTGAGTTCAAATCCAGCCTCAGACACATAACACTGACTAGCTGTGTGACCCTGGACAAATCACTTAATCCCATTTGCCTAACCCCCCTAAAAAATTTATTTTTGGCATTTTTTTTAAATTTTGAGTTTCAAATTCTCTCCCTCCAACCCCTCCTCCACTGAGAAAGCAAGGAATGTGATATCAATTTTACATATGAAATCATGCAAAGCATATTTCCATATTAACCATGTTGCAAAAAAAAAAGGAGGGGGTGGGGTGGGGACAAAAAAATAAAGTGAGAAAATTATGCCTCATTTTGTAGCCAGAATTCCTCAGTTCTGTCTCTGGAGGTATATAGCATTTTTCATCATCATGAGTCCTTCTGAATTGTCTTCAATCATTGTATCTATCAGAGTCGCCAAGTCTTTCACAGTTAGTCATTGTTACAATATTGCTGTTACTATGTATAGTGTTCTGGTTCAGTTCATTTCATTTTGAATCAGTTCATGTAAACCTTCCTAGGTTTTTCTGAAACCATCCCATTTGTTATTTCATATACCTCAATAGTATTCCATCACAATCATATACCACAACTTGTTCGGCTATTCCTAAGTTGATGGGCATCCTCAATGTCCAGTTCTTTGCCATCACAAAAAGCTACAAAAAATATATTTTTATATATAATCCCCTTTCCTTTTTTTTTGATCTCTTTGGTGTATAGACCTAGTAGTAGTATTGCTAGATCACAGTTTTAAAGTCCTTTGGGCATGGTTCCAAATTGTTCTCCAGAATGTTTGGACCAATTCACAACTCTACTAGCAGTGCATTAGTACACCTATTTTCCCACATCCGCTCCAGCATTTGTCATTTCTGATAGATGTGAGGTGGTAGACCAAATCTTGATTGGAAAGTCCAAGAAAAAAAAAATCACAGTGAGTTACATTTCAAGCTCAAGCTAGCATAGGGAGACAGAGAGGTTTTTGAACAGTGGGGACAGGGTCTGGTCAGGGGCAAACTACACAGGGTATTCCAGCACACAGGAACTGAAAGCAAACCAAGGCTGTGCACTATGGCAGGAAGAAATCTCATCACCATACCGGGGAACCCCAACCTTGTGCAGAGTGAGAGAACGGGTCCAACTAGAAGCTCTGTCCTTCACTACTCAGTTCCAAGTCACAGATCCAGGATGGACTGAGGAGGGGACCTGCACTTAGAGGTGTTCCAGGGCTAGATATGGTTGTGGGACCTAAGCTATGTAGGATCACGGAGCAAGTTCAGAAGCAAACAACAGCTGGGGGGGCTCTGACTTAGAAGAGGAGTCTCAGTTCCAGCCTCCAGTCTAGTCTGAAGCCTACAGTGAATAACCAGAGCAGGAATTTTAGAACAAAGGGTAGCCTTTGGTTACTGTGAATCTGCAGAGATTTCCAGCTGGATGATAGTGACTCAGTCCAGCAGCAGTCTACTGGAACTTTGACCGGGGCAAGACCTGAGCCCAAGTCAAGAACTTGCAGAGCTCAGGGCAGTGAGGTAGGGGTTAGAGTAGTCAGACTTTTGCCTAGATCAGGCTGCTTTGGGAGCCCTTGAAAACTTTCAGGTCTTCCATCTGAGCCACCCCTGTCATTCCAGGATAAAAATAACACTCAATACCCCAGGAAAGCAGCAAAAAGACTTGTGAGGACAAAAGTTCCGCCCAGACATTCTCCCCAGAAGTGTGCAAACTTGGTCCTCACATAAAGTCTGAAATGAGAAAGTAGTGTGGAAGGATGAGTAAATAAAAAAGAATCCCATCACAAAGAATTATTATGGTGACAGGGACAATCAAGACACAGACACAAATCCAGAAGAAAATGCCTCCAAAACATCTACAGCAAAGCCTCAAAGAAAAGCATAGCTTATCCACAAATCCGACCAGAATCCTTTAAGAGATGAAGCAAGTTTTTTTTTTAAGAACTAAAAATGATTCAAAAAACCAAATTAGTGTACTTTAAGAGGACATTGGAGAAAGAAAAGAGAACTATGGAAGAATGATTTGAAAAGAAAATTAGCAGCTTGGCACAGGAGGCACAAAAGCTTAACCAAGAAAAAGTTCCCTAAATACAAGAATTTACCAAATAGAAACTAATGACACAATGAGACAAGAAATATTAGTCAAAAGCCTAGGGGGAAAAATAAAAGAAAATATAAAGTATCTCATAGAAAAACAACTGACCAGGGGCAGCTAGGTGGCACAGTGGATAGAGCACCAGCCCTGAAGTCAGGAGGACCTGAGTTCAAATTTGACCTTGGACCGAACACTTGACACTTACTAGCTGTGTGACCCTGGGCAAGTCACTTAACCCCAAGTGCCTAAAAAAAAGAAAAACAACTGACCTAAAAAAAAAATGAAGGAAAGATAATTTAAGAATGACCAGAATAGGGGCAGCTAGGTGGCTCAGTAAATAGAGCACTGACCCTGGAGTCAGGAGGACCTGAGTTCAAATCTGGCCTCAGACACATAACACTTAATAGCTGTGTGACTCTGCACAAGTCACTTAGCCCCAATTGCCTCACAAAAAAAAAAAAAAGAAGAAGAAGAAGAAGAAAAAAGAATCACCAGAATACCTGAAAGCCAGGACCAAAAAAAATCCTAGATCCATACTTCAAGGCATCATAAAAGCTAGTTGCCCAGCTCTCTTAGAACCAGAGGGTAAAACAAAGCCCAGCAGGAAGAGATAGAGAAATTCCGTTTAAAATAACTGCAGACAATATAAAATACTTGGGAGTCTACCTGCCAAGACAAACCCCAGAACTATATGAACACAATTACAAAACACTTTTCACACAAATAATGTCAAATCTAAACAATTGGAGAAATATTAATCATTCATGGATATGCTGAGCCAATATAATGAAAATGACAATTTTATGTAATTTATTTATTCAGTGCCATATCAATCAAACTACCAAAAAATTATTTTATAGAACTAGAAAAAATAACAAAATTCACCTGGAAGAACAAAAAATCAAGAATATCAAGTGAATCAGTGAAAAAAAAAATGTGAAGGAAGGTGGCTTAGCAGAAGCAGATCTCAAACTATATTACAAATTGATAATCATCAAAATAATCTGGTATGGTTAGGAAATAGAGTGATGTCTCAGTGGAATAGGTTAGGCACACAATACACAATAGTAAATGGCCATAGTAATATAATGTTTGTCAAACCCAAAAATCCAAGATTTGGGACAAGAAATCACTATTTGACAAAAAATGCTGGGAGAACTGGAAAGCAGTTTGGCAGAAACTAGATATAGACCAACATCTCACACCATATACTAAAATAAAGTCAAAGTATGTATATGATTTAGACATAAAGGATGATATAAGCAAATTAGGGGAGCATGGAATATTTTACCTGTCAGATTTATGGATAAGGGAAGAATTTATGACCAAATAAGAGAGAGAGAGCATTACGGTATGTAAAATGGATAATATCAATTACATCAAATTAAAAAGGTTTTGCACAAATAAAACCAATTCTGCCAACATTAGAAGGAAAACAAGAAACTGGGGGGGGGGGGTGATTTATAGCATGTTTCTTTGATAAAGGCCTCATTTCTCAAAGAGAACTGAGTCAAATTTATAAGAATGAGTCATTCCCCAATTGACAAGTGGTCAAAGGATATGAACAGGCAGTTTTCAGAAAAAGAAATCAAAAGTTATCTGTAGTCATGTGAAAAAAATGCTTTAAATCACTATTGATAAGAGAAATGATAATTAAAACAATCTTATACCTATGATATTGACTAATATGACAGAAAAGGAAAATGACAAATGTTGGCAAGGATATGGAAAAATAGGGACACTAATGCATTGTTGGTGGAGTTGTGAACTGACCAACCATTTTGGAGAGCAATTTGAAACTATGCCCAAATGGCTATAAAACTATGCATACCCTTTGACTCAGCAAAATACCACTACTAGGTCTGTACCCGCAAAGAAATCAAAGAAAAAGAAAAAGATGTATACATACAAAAGTATTTATAGCAGCTCTTTTTGTGATAGCAAAGAATTGGAAATTGAGGGGGGATGGCCACTAATCAAGGAATGGCTAAATAAGATGTGGCATATGATTGTGGTGGAATGCTGTTGTGCTCTAAGAAATGATGCGTAGGATGCTTTCAGAAAAACCTGGAAAGGCATACATGAACTGATGCAAAGTAAAACGATCAGAACCAGGAGAACATTGTACCCAGTAACAGCAATATTGTACAATGATCAACTGTGAATGACTTAGCTGTTCTCAGCAATACAGTGCTTTAAAACGATTCCAAAGGATTTGTGATTAAAAAAAAAATGCTGTTTACATTTAGAGAAAGAACTGACAGAGTCTGAGTACAGATTGAAGCATACTTTTAATTTTTTCTGCATTTTCTTTTGCAACATGGCTAATATGGAAATGTTTTGCCTGACTGCACATGTGTGAAGTATACCTAATTTTTTGACTTCTTCAGGAGGGAAGAAGGGAAGGGATAAAGGAGTGAGAGAATATGGAACT